CGGAGGATATTTTTTCCATTGATTTTTAGAGAGAGTGGGAGGGAGGGAGAGAGGGAGGGAGGGGCAGGGGAGAGAGACAGGCATAGAAACATTGATGTGAGCGAGACACATTTATTGGTTGCTTCCTGCGTGCACCCCAACTGGGGCTAGGGATTGGACCTGTAACCCAGGTACCTTCCCTTGACTGGGAATTGAACCTGTGACCCTTTGGTGCGGGGGCTGATGCTCTAACCACTGAATACACCCTCAGGGCTGAATGTGTTCAGTTTATTAAGCAATATTTGCCAGGATCTTTCTGAGTACAAACACTGGTAGGGCTTGTTAGAAACACCATAAAGTGGGTGGGGTGCCCAGGTGAGGAACACAGGTTCGTGCTGGTAGCAGGTGATGCAGGGCAGTAAACATAGATGACTAGCGAGGGCTACAGCCAAGGAGGGACCTGGGAAGTGAGGAAAGAGTGGGACGCTGTGAGTGGGGCACTCATTACTTTGAAGCTCTGACCCAGCCACTGGGTGCAAGCTGGACAGGTGCTGGCAGGAGGGCCCCCACCTCCAAGTCTTCCTGACCCTAGGCCTCACTCTTCTGAAGTCTGTCCTGAGCCCCTCCAGGCAGGGCTGTGTCTCACCCATCTTATGTTCTCAGGGTCTGGCACATGGCACTGTCCATCAAGATCTGCCCACTAACATGCTGATACTTGTATTACTCTTGACATGTTTCCCCCCTGCTTAACCTGTAAGACTTTGCCTGGATTTGAGACCCAGCTCAGGTTTCTTGTCATCAAAGAAAAGCCTTTCTGGTTCCCAGCTCTCCAGCCAGCTCTGAATCAATCCCCCGACCCTCTCCAAGTTCCCCAAAGCTCATTTGACTTTATCTTGCTCAACACTTAACATGCTACAATAGACATGATAGAGTGACCATACGCCATGTATGGTCTAAACTGGTACACTTGAGTGTGAAAGGGGGCAGATGTAACCCAGGAGTGAACAGCACTGACCACACTGTCCAGAGGGCTGTCATTGGCCTGCCTATGCCACGAGGGGCTGTGTGCACATGAATGACCTGCTAGCTCCCCTGGGCCTTAGTGTCCCAGTCTGCAAGAAGTGCACCGCACCGGGCAGATGACCTCTCAGGTTCTTTAAAGAACTAAAATGACATGGCCGGTGGAGAGTTTGGGCCTGTGAGGCATTTAGTGGGCGATGTGAGCAGGTGGATGTGTTTGCAGAGAGGTCTTGGGAACAGAGCATGAGAACTCCCAAGTCCAGGGTTGATGGGGACCCAGCCAGAGGCAGTGGACAGCTGCTTTGGGTGTGAGCTGATGACTGTCCACTGCATCAGGACCTGCAGTTCCGGGGAGGGCGGAGTGCTTGGGTGGCCTCTCCTTCCTTGTGGCAGGCAGGCGTTTACCACACCTGGGATAAACCAGCTGACTTGTTCAACACAGTTGGAGAAGGGGAGTCAAAATGAGTTTTTTCCCCATTTAGGACAGAGGAACATTTGTATCTAGGATGGAATGGAGGCCAGAGTGGCAGAGTTTGGCAAAAGAAGACAAACTCCTTTTTCCTCAGCTGCTTCTTCATCACACATGCCCTCAGCCACCCTGTCCCCATTCCTCTCTCCTTAGGGTCCTCTCCACTCCACACGCAGCAGAAGGGCATGTCAGCCATGTTGGGGCCTGCCCTTCTCCAGAGGTGAGGCAGGAACTTACAGCGTTGTGGGGATGGGGGAAGAGTGGAGGGATGGTGGAAGCTGCTGGCATGGGGGCTTCCTGGTGGGGGCTCCTGGAACTGGGTGGGCTCTCAGAAGCTGCCACTGTTCAGGGGAGGATGAGTCCCTCGCTTTACATCCCCTCCGCTTTTCTAACTTCAGTGCTGCTACTGTGGTTTCAGTCTCCCACTCCCCTTGGAGAGGCCAGGAGCCCCGCTGCCCCTGTGCCTGGGCGGGAGTGTGCAGCCCTGCTCTCCTATTTGGCTTTCAGCTGACCTCTACTCAACTCTGCTTCCACTTTGGACAGGATTTCTGAAGCCTCTGATCACAAAACTTTCCTTCTCCCTCAAACAGTTGTATTTAGCAGAAGGGACTGTGGTGACTCAGTTGGAAGGAACCCGTCCAACAAGAAAGGTCACAAGGCCTTAGAATGGTCTCTCTCGGAGGGAAGCTATGTCTTCATGGCACCAACAAAAACAAACTCAAGATTTTGTTTTTTTGTTTTTTAAATGCAGCCAGCTATTTAGCTTACTTGCCACCTTGGATATGCTGTTTGTTTATCTTTTTTTCTGAATTAAATTGAATATATTAAAGGCACATCCAGAGAAAATGTGAAAGGCAAGCAAATTGGTATGGAAGCGTAAATGGAGGGGATGAGAGGAAATACTGTGCAACTGGAAGAATTGGTACAAAAGTGGAGGAGCGGTGAAGATAGGTGCGCTCGGCGGCAGTGAGGGACCTCAGAGATGAAGCAGGAGCATGCCCAGGGGCTTCAGCCAGTAGCAGGATGGTGCTCTGAGGTGCCTGGACACTCACTGAGCCCAGGTCAGATTTTTAATCCTTACCTTGACCTAGATCAAGGTCCTAGGGTGTGGGCCCTTCCTGGAGCTGTCTGCATTTTGTGACCCTCTGCCAGCTAGAAGTTTATGGCTCTGATGTCAGGAAAATCACTGATAAACCTTGTTTCAAACATGCTCCAACCCCAACTGGCTCTAACAGGGTTTGATATCTCATAATTGGAAGCCAGATACGAGTGAATGCAATATGTAGGCAGGACCCATTGGAGACACGGGGAGGGTAGAACTTCCTCCTGGAAGTAGCCATCCTATAACCAGGTAGGAAGACCCAGAGGACTGTGCTCAGGATGTGCCCCAGGCCCTCTGGGCAGCTCTGCACCATTAATTCTATGAGGATTTGTGTGCCTGGAACCCAGCTGACACTGATGGGGCGAGTCTAATCAAAACAGTGATGTTTTCTTGAGGACTGTGGGTTCTGAGAACTTTGGGGGTTTTTTGTGAGGTATGATCAGTTATGAGCATGAACATCTCACAGTGAAGTGAGAACGGTAGAAATGTCTCTCACCCACCCTTCATCACTCTGAGATCCTGGCCCAGAGAGGATTCTTCTAGAACTCTGGTTTCTAAAGTGGGTTCTCCAGACCAGCAACATAAATATCACCTGCAACTTCTTGGAAATGCACATTCTCAAGTCCCTGCGCTCAAGTCTCTGGGTCAGAAACTTGGGGTGGGTTGGGATGGCACCCAGTATGTTAACATGGCAAACACAGTCACTTCATTCCCCTTTTATTCACCAGGTCACCAGGTCTAACTTAATGGGGGAGGGTGTCTGGTGTATTTTAGGCGATAGGAAAAACAAAGGCTATGAACATTATCAGGGAGGTGACAGAAGTTGGATTTGCAGTTTCTGTTTTTGGAATGCAAGTCTGAAAAATAAGGCCTTTGGAACATAAGCAGAGTGCCTTTGCCACACCAGACTAAATTGATAATTTCTTAGTGTCGTCTGTTAAACCAGATTAAAATTTCCCCAATTGCCTCATCATTGCCTTAACACTGGGTGGTCTCAGGCTTCAAACAAGCCCCAGACGTTGCATTTGGAGTGTTAGGTAACCAGTTCAGTCTGTGTCTGAGGTTTTAGTTGCCACTGTAAAGCTGTGGACAAAAAAAGGGGCCATATACCAATTTAAACCTTACACGTTTATGGGAGGCCTGCATGGCAGCCTTACAAACTCAGAGACGAAAAGAACCCCATAGAGTGGTCTGAAATTAAAAAAATTTCTAACTAAAAATAGTTCAGGGAGGGTAGTGATGTGTTAGGGCAGTATTTTTGCCTAACAAAAGTCAAATCTTCACCTTAACTAAGCCTGTTGTCTTTTGCTTCTAAGATAACATACCTTTGGAGTATCAGATTTTTTTTCCTGGACCCCTCAAAGCATAACCAACACCAGAGCAGAGACCACAAATCTCATTATTATGTTAATTGTTAACTATCTTACACCCACAAATGTTAAAGAAGTACGAGTCTATATGAAAAAATGCTCAGCTTCACTAATCATCAGAGGGATGCAAATTAAAACTACAAAATGAGTTATTACCTCACATCTGAGATAATGGCTACCATCAATAAATTAATAAGTGCTAGTGAGGATGCTGACAAAGGGAACCTTAGTGCACTATGATGGGAATGCTGACTGGTGCAGCCACTGCAAAAAGTTAAAAATGGAACTGCCAGGGAGTTCCAAGATCACTGTGAAGTAGGTGAAATCAGCACACCTGATGCCAAACTGGATTTACAGCTAAAATTTAGAGCAATCAGCCTGAAGAAACAACTGAAGAACACCTACACAGGAGAATGGAAAAAGGAAGCTACACAAAGACTGGTAAGAAGGGTGGAGATGCGGAGGGCTAGCCCCTGCACCCAGGTGCAGCCGCTGAGAATCCAAAGGGGTATTGTGGTTGCAAAAGTCCCTCCTGAGGAAAGTGGGGTGAACCCCACACTGGGACCACCAAACCAGAGCACCAGGGCTGGGAAGAGGAGCCTGCATAGCATCTGGCAGCAGAAATAAGTGAGGACTTTGCTGGAAAGAGGAGGGAGTCTAGAATCCCAGGTGCTTAAGGGCCAACACACAAGGGCTTGGGCACTCACCTGGGGCCCCGGTTAGAGGGAAGGAGACTTGGCATATGGAAGCCATAAAGAGAAGATCTGGGTGGCATAGCTCCAGAGATCTGGATGATAGGCTACTGAGGTTCTGGTCCTGAGTCAACATCCCATACGGCCCTTGGATGCCATCTGCCAGGGTCAAGCACTTCTATCCTTTCAGCTCCAGCTGGAGAAAGTGTACTAATGCTGTCCTCCAAATACTGGTGACACCACCTGCCAAGATTGAATGCAGGAAAAAGGACTGTGGGCTGTACCCAATAGAGACCTGAGGTGGGCTCTTTTTCTGGAGAAGCTATAAACAGACTCATGATCATTGAACTGAGTAGTTTTGGAACAAGGGCCAATTTTCCCCAACCCACGGCTTAGGCAGGTGTCACCCCAAAGGAAGACCTTGTCAGGTTCTCAGGCAGCGGGCAGCTGCTGAGCTAGGGGGAGGTGTGCACTAGCACCCCTCCCACAGCTCTGTGCCACTCCCAATGGAGGGCTGACTTGATTTGTATTCCTAAAGCCTGCTGGCCCCATTCTGCTAAGCTCAGATCTGG